GGAATATGATAAGCTTTATGGTTTGCTGGTTTCCTTTTTGGCCGAAAGCAATACTAGTAGTGAATCCTTACTTATGATATTATTAATAGCCGTATGAATTTATTATCTATCCATTCTATGTAAGCACATGTTCTACTTTCAAGCAAGAGTTGAGCAATCAGTTCCATTTCATCACCTTCCATCTTTCAGTTCTTACTATGGTGCTAGACCCAAAAACAAGCCGTACCAAATTGCCTGGCGATTCACGAATCAATGCCCCTAGCTGGGTATCCCAAAAACACACGCCCCGCTTGTACCCCAGGCACAAGCAGGACTAACCCATCAACCTCTTGTCCTAGGTGTCCAAGTCCCCGTCCAAACTTAGACTCCAAGCCCACACTCTTGAGTCCCGGACTCAGTGTGGTGCAAGGACCTCCACCACCCCGCCTCCAATCAGTCGGTCCGAAAAGAGTCGGATTCCACGATAAGAGAGCAACGAGCCTTCCCTGCGCTCATACCCAAGTATGTGCTCGGGATAATAAATCTTTGATTTGCCTCGAGACTTATGCAACGGCCGGTCCTTAATCGACATAGATAGGGAAAAAGTGTAAACAAGCTATGCCCTATTGGCCGCAGGACACAACCTCTTACACCCACCAGTACCCAACCATATCCCTGCCCGGTCATCATTTTCCTTTCCACCATTTTATTATGAGTAATCATAATTATCACCTATTGTGAGTAACGACAGGTTACTCACGCTACCGATATCCTTAGCATAGTAGCTACTTGACCTATACTAGTAGGACTCATAGGTAGATATAGTTATGCATGTAGTTTCCATAAAATACCTGTAACGTAAATGCACATCATATGTATATATACAGTGATCATTAAAAATAGGGGTTATGCACCGGGGCTTGCCTTGGGCAGGCGACAGTCGTCAAAAAGTCAGCACCAAAAGGCTCCGGGGCTCCCTCCAACACGAGGATCTCCTCCTCGTACTCCTCACTAACCTCTTCGTAATCCTGCTCGTCCACGGGCATGAATTCTACCAACTCGTGATCTACATGCATGAAATGATGATGCAACACTTAATAATATGGCAACAACAGCTCTTAAAATAACTATATCTTATCAAGTTACTAAGCTAGTCCTACCGGTGAAGGTACTAAGCTACCTACTGTTACCACTAACAAGTATCAAGCATGACATACATTATCATAGCAACTAAAGGTATTCTTACTCCCAATATCGATTGACCCTATATATGATAAAACCAGGATAATAGCTACTCTATTTATCAACCTACTCTAGGGATACAAAATTTACAGCAAGTACAGAATAATCTAGTGAGCCTATTGTAAAATTTTTATAGCTATAGCGATCACCAACTTACCACAAAAATTCACTGGAAAATTCACTGTAATCTAACTACACTAACAGATAGATGGCATTTTTGTGATCCTAACAAACTTGGTTTCACTATTTTTGGACATCTACAAGATTTACTACAATTTATCAAAGTTTAGCTTAAAACTATATTGAATAAACATTTGTAATTCACTGGAAAATTGGAAAACGAGTTCACAGCGCGGCCCGCGAGCGATGGCTCAGCCCACCCCAGCGTCCTGGCCGCGCGCATGTGCGGCTCCCAGCGCGGCCCACGCAACGCCTGGTGAATGCGGCCCACGCTACGAGGCCCACGGCGGAGCCCACGCACGACTGTTTCTTTTGCGAAAGAGCCCCCGTTCTCTACCCTATTCACGAAGCTCCCTCGAGCACTATTTCACCGAGTCATGGAGTTTGCATCTACCACCCTTCCCTTTCCCTTCTTTGACGCGGCCTCATCCCCCGGCACCCGTGCGCGCACCGGTGCGACGGTGCTGGCACCGGGCGGCTACGCCGGCCACACCAGACCCTCACAGCCCTATCTAAGGAGCCGATGCTCACCTCAACGTCAACGCGAAGCGGTGGGAGGCGATACGGCAAAAGGGGGCGTTGTCCCGAGCTCCCTCCACGGCGGCAGACTCCTCCCTACGACGGTGGGCGTGTTCCCGTGAGCCAAGGCACCGACAACGTAAACAAGCTCAAGGATGGGCAACAGAGACTCACCCCGAACCTACCGGTCGTGATGGCTTGACTGGAGACTGACCGAGCGAGCCTGGCCACGCGATGGCGGCGATGGCAAGCCTCGCGATGGCGCGCACGGCAAGCCTCGCGACAGCGGCGATGGCGTGGCTACGGCGGCAGCGCTGAGCAGGCAGCAGCAGGTCAAAATGGGGTGCGCATGGGATAGAGCGGAGCAAGGCGAAGGTACCGTGCCAATCAATTGGACGAAGGTGGACGGGGCTAGGGGAATTGGATGGGCGTTACCACGGGGTCTTAAAATGACTGACGGTGATAGAACCGTCAAATTGAGGCTCGGCAACGGCCGGCAGTAGCAGTGGAAAGGTTCGGCGCGTAGCTAGGTCTCTACTCCAACCACGGGCGCACACAATTTCATGGATTTGGCCGACGCTGCAAGCTTGCCTCGGCACGCCCGACGACAGAGGAACAGGGAAGTTAAGCAAGGTTGGCCCGGCACTGTCGCGGCGGATGTGGCCATCATCTCAAAGCACAAGCGCGCACGGGCGATGGTGAACAGCAAGACGTGCACAAGACGCTTGGCCACACTGTCACAACCTGCAAGGCGACGGCGGCACGGCACTACACCACAGTGGACGGCGCTGGCCAGGGGAGGCAACAGCGCAGCATTGATGAGCTTAATTGATGGCAAGAGCGGGCGGCACTCCAACGCGCGGCAAAGAGACGTGCAGGCAGAGCCAAGCGTGGCCACACAGTAGCGACACGGCATCGTCGAGGTGAGCACGGGGCGGTAGAGCAACCAGTGCGCGGGCCGGCGGTGCGGGTCCACGCGGCTGTGCGCGAGCGTGTGCGTGCGTGGCGTGCCAGGGCAGCAACGACGGCGCGTGGCCTACATCGCGGGACCAGCGGCAGGGCCAACCGGCGCGGCAGCGACGAACGGCGCGCAACGCGACCGTGGTGCAGTGCGACGCGACGACGAGGCAGAGCAGCCAGGCTGACTGGGTCCAACGCGCGTGTGTGCGAACGTGTAGCGCTAGGCGCGGCAGTGGTAGTGCGGCCGGCGCGGTGGTGCGCGTGGGCACGCTAGGGCGAGCGGCGACATTGGTCGGGTCGTAGTGACCGCAGCCAGATACCGAAACCGATCGGGAACGTGCTTTGCACATTTTAATGTTGCTCAAGAAGCCAACTCGATGATCTAGTAGCTACACCACCTATTTTATGCTCTAGCTGGTATATCAAGCTATTAAAAGAAATCCCAAAACCATACCACTACCTAACCCGATCGTTCTACAAAAATTATCGAACATGGCTTCGTCGACCCATTTCTTGACTTAGGACTTTCAACCAAAGCATGATTGGATTCACGTCAAATTTGATTTCCAAGCCATTCGATACACTAGCTAGCGAACTCCATTCTCGACCGTTCGTATTTCACCGTCACCTACGAAGTTCATGCGATAAACGTTACCAAATCTTTGCATATGCGTTCTATAGCATTTTCGTTCCATAAAAATTCATTTAGAACCCTAAGTAATACAACGCGACATGAAATGTAACATACGTTTCGTGTTTCAATTGAACGTTTCAAGTTCCGTATATTACTTTATACCCTATATTACACACATTTACACACAAGTATGATGCTCATGTAGTATTTTAGCAAAAAGCTGTACAGTGTAACACCGAGGGTGTTACATACACAAAATATTATTCATAGGCACTGTATTATTCAGAGGGATCTTAAACCACAAAATATATTGTTCAATCATGTTATGGTGTCGAAAATTGCGAACTTCAGTCTTTCAAGGTGGTTTCAAGAAGATCAAAGCCATGCTATTACGTAATAAATACATCGGTGGAACAATGTAGGTTTCTGAAGTCCTACATTGTGCTTAGGGGGGTGCAAATGCCCCCCAATGAAAAAATAATTATTTTAACTAAAATTCTACCATATATGCACCTCTCGTGATACAAGTATATGAACCCAAGGCAAACACATCTCTCTCTAATTTGTTCTAGACAACCAAGGGTTCCAACAGCGTGCTCCTATACAACCATGATCATTGATTTTTATACTATTGCAACACCATTTCAATTGTCATAGTTATTACTGAACATGACCACACACGAACTGCCATGATTCAAGTTTCAATCTTTTCTTGAAGAAGAGCACATCTTTTGTTTTCTTGAAGAAGAGCACATCTTTCGGTCAGTGTTTTCTATGCATTCACGGAGTATATTGAAGTGATATGTCCTTGTTATTATAAAGCTCTATATCGTCTTGTTTATTCTAAGTGGAACTCAATGTTAAATCATTGTTTAATTCAACTTGTGGTTTAAATAGCTTGTTAAAACAAATTTGCTTGCTAAGATGTTTCATCTCACCCTTGCATTACTCAATCTAGGTACTTGATGCTTTGCTTGAAGTGATAGGATTAGCCGTGCATCATCACTACTTTGCCCACACTTTAGTGATATAATAATACTTTTGGCTTGTTGTAGTCAACTTAGTTTATCAATCATGATGACCCTCCGTGGTTTAGTAATATTAACTGAGGTGGAACATTTCTTTATCATGGTTTTACTGTTCTTGTTGCTTCAGTGTTCTACCGTGTTTATCGTGTTTGCTGCTGAGTTTTGTACTCCAGCTTGAGAAAAGGGACATTTAGTAGCATCCTTGGCTTTTTTGGCGTCTAGGGTGTTACAACCACTAAGCGCAGGGATCATACTCGGCGACTTTGGTGGGTTGGGAAGAACCATATTGTGCCCCGCCAAAGATCGATTCACTGCTGGTCCATTTTCGGTTCGCGAGTTATGAGCAAAAGTGATCATTGGCATAGTTGTGCTAACCCCACCTAAATTGGCCTTAGCAGTTTCAGTTGCCGAAGTGGCCCATTTGGCTTGGACGCTTGGTTAGCCACTGCATACATGCTTTAATTCTCATAAAAAATGTAAGGCATGCCATATTGAGGTTGTTTAGAAGCCAATTCGCTAGTAGATGCATCAACACAATCGACTTTCTTAGCCTCTAATCTATCAAAACGTGACATGATCATATTAACAACAGTCATAAGATTGTTATCAGTTACTATCCTATGATCTTGTAACATCTTAGCATAATTAGCATGAGTAGGGCAAGGATCTTCAACCACTTTATTATCTTTTACCTTTGGTGCAGTGAGCTCACCAAAGATGGGTTCACAGTATCGAGTGACGTTGCCCTGCCGATCTTTAAAGCAGCTCGCGAGGAACGCTTCTAGATTGGCAGTGAGCTTGGCTTGAATCTTTTGGCGAAGATCATCGGGAAGCTCGTCAATCGATGTTGGCAAGGTCATGTTGCCCGGATCACATGTAGGTTCGGTGTGATCAACCGTCTTCTTGTCGTCGTCCGACATGTTGCTAGTAGATTGGTTTCTCTTCTTCTTTCCCGGCGGAGTCGTCAAAAAGTGCACTGATGCCGAATTGGGTCACACACCAACAAGAGCTAGCACGCCGAGGTCGCACATGACCTAGCACACAACAAGAACGTGGTAGAAACAGCAAGACCGACCAACAAGCCGGTCAAGTCGATTTGTCACCCGTTCTTTGCTTGATAGACTGCTGGACATCTTTTGGGAAGATCCGTTTGAAGGGGCATAACGAGGTTGTTCTAGGATCGGCAAGGTCACGTAGAACGCCGCCAAATCTCGTCGAGAGATGTGATGAACCAACATAGGCTAGAAAAGTTAGGGCAAAAGGAGTAGTAGATGTGTTTTAATTTTTTGATGTTTGGAAGTTGGATTTCTCAATCGATCGTGATCCTCTCATGTATATTGATTGGGATGGTCTTATTCTGGTAGGAAACATCTCCAGATCGTAATCTACACGTTTTCCACGAAAAAAACAAGACCCAGAACCGAGTTGGACTCAACTTGTTCTCGGAATATCAATGCAAAACCGGGTAAGCTGATGCTGGAGCTTAGTCGGACTCCTCAGGGCCGAGCAGACATGCCGGACGGAGCACAGTCAAACCCGGTTTTGGCTGAAAGTGCCCAACTTCTTTCTTTTCTTTATTTAAACTCTGATCTTGATGTTCCAAATTAATTTCTTCAACTTCTCGACGGCAATAACTTAATGGTGGAGTCAATTACTCTTGTTGGCACGTTTTTGCCGTCAACAAGAGCACACTTGACTTGCTCCATGAACAAAAGAGAATATTAAAGAAACAATCACAAGAAATTGAGGCACTCACTGTTCGCTTGATCGTATCAGCCATGCTTATCAGGCATGATACAATGTTTTTTTCTCACAACAAAACATCATCAGTCAGTTTATAAGTCACATAAACGATCAAGAGAACAGGGTGATTAGAAAATGAAGATCTCTGTGCTTCCCATGTCTCACGTACTCTTTTCTGAACGTGATATATCGTTGTTGCAAGGTGAGTACGTGACATCGAGCATTCCAAACAGCTTCTGGACTCAACAGTCTCAACTGGATGGTAACACGAAGCTGTTGGGGGCGGTGGCGTGCGTACGTACAATCAACACGCGCATCCTTCGTCATCATCAGCTGCATGCGTGCGCCCAATGCCCATACCCTGCCGCCTCCGCCGAAACCGAGGAGGCGATGGAGAGCCCCGGCCGACCTCAACCGGTCGATCGAGAGAGGGATCCTATGGGGGGAAATCAACAAGAGAGCGGAAGCATGCGCGGCGCGACCGCTCGATCCCTGCACATATTTCCATGCGCAGGCCGGGCATCCCCTTGCTTCACGGACCCGGCGCGCAACGCACACTGTGCAGCAGCAGCCGTCCTCTCGCTGTATCCCGGCCGGGAAGAAGATCGTGTGCTCTGGTCGGACGGCCGGTGCTCTCTCTGAATCTCTGCTTTAACAAGGCCACCACCTGCTCCTTCCGCCAGCTAGAGCGATGTACTGGTAGTGGTAGACGACGACTGCGCGATCGCAAGTTGCACGGCTTGCTACCACGTTGCTGCAATGCTGCTACTTGCGTGCGTACTCCGAGTACCATGTGGCTGGCGAGCAGGCAATGCAGGAGCCTCTCACTCCATAGTCAGGATGACTGTCGCAGAAAGATGAGGACAGAGGAGTAGGTTGGCAATAAGTCTGCACTTCATCAGTGACAGCCTGACTACCGGCCCTGGTACCTGAATTATACCGTCAGTTCTTACATTACATATACTTCTTCTTGGCACGGCATACAGGCACCGTGGAATTGTTTCTCAGGACATATGAGTGATCGTCCATTCCAGCGCCTAGAAGTATATATATATAAATATAAAACCCATGCAGCTAACAGCTCTAGGTCACGCGGTAATTGGCGCGCTGGTACTGCCTTAAGCGATGGTGCAGGCCAAGTAAAGACGTTCGTCCGGATATGCTACTGGCTGCCGCCGTACGTGCTGATGACGACCGGGGATTTTTCTGCGAGGCTTGCAGGATCCACAGGATGGTTCAGTACCACTGCTTGAAAGTCCGGGAAAAAATCATTGGAAGACTTCAAGCATGCAGCAAAAGCGAGAGAGACAATTCAAGCAATGCAAGCAAAGCAAGCAAGCAAGCAATAAAGCATGCACGCATCGATCGACCACGAACGTTGCATTGCATGCAACACACGTAGTTGTAGATCCCACAAAAAAGCTTTTCGTTCCATCGAACACAGCACCAGGAATAATCAACACTGATCGATCAAATACCAGGGCATGCAAAGGGAACTAACAGGAGTTCAGATGCCGTCAGAGAGCAATGTAAAGGCGGGACCTGCTTCAATTCAACAGCCATGCATGTATGCATGATGCTCCCACACACAGGGGCCCTGCTAGCTAGAAATAAATCATTGAACCATGGGACAAGCTACTGCAATACTAACGTGTGTTGTGTGTATATAGCAGCAAGCAAACAGGCAATGAAGCAGACGCAGGCACGTCCCCGCCGGTCGACCCCATAGCGAGAGAGGACCACCAGCTGGTTATGGTGTAGCCAGTGAGTCAGACGGTCTCACACACCATGCCCTGAAAACCATGCATGCCAGGTTTCCTATACGGCCCCTTCATGTCAGGAAGACAGGAACCCAACAACAGTGACATGCAGAGAGACAGAGAAGCTGGGACTGGGAGTCACAACATGCATGCATGGCACCGCACGTCATACCGCTTATGATGTCTTTCATGCCCGCTGCTAGTGATAGCTGCTCCTCTGTGTACCTACAATGATACGAAGCCAGCGAAAAAACAAACAAGCAAGCAGCTTTATGTCGACTATAGTACTTACTGCTTAGAAGCATGATTTCCCTAGCTAGCTAGTTAATCCACTTATATCATACTATAAGGGTCAGCAAAAAAAAAAAAAAAACAGAAGTGCTAACTCTCAACCGAGTGATTTTGGTCCATCCCTCAACCGAATTCTGGGCTGTTGGATCTTACACGTGTCGGCATCTGCTCGGGCTCCTTCGCCGCTCCTCTGCCACTGCCCCAAGGCCGCTCCTCTGCTCGGGCGGGCGCGCAGTCCTTTGTCGCTCCTTTTTCGCCGCCTGTTGCCGCCGCCCGCCGAGATGAGGACCTCCCGGTGGGTAGGCCGCCATTGCCGCTTCCCAGTCTTGGACGCTGGTGGAGCGCTGCTCAGCGTCCCAGGCGCGTCCCAGCAGGTGTCCCCAGTGCGGGCGCCGCCGTCCTTTGCTTTCTGTCCCTTTTCCGCTGCTGGAAGATGAGATGTGCTCTCGGGTGTCTATTCTTCTTTGCTCTCTCTCCATTCTTCTATTTGTAAATTTGTATATTTATGAACAATTTGACGATATTTGTGAATAATTTGACATATATTTCTCTGGTATCTAGAATCCATAGAAAAAATTTATATATATTTTTTTGAAAAATTGGCTTATATTTGTCTGAGATCTTAGGTTATCCTCAAATTACACCACTTTGTCCTATATATTACACTGAAGAAATTAGTGTAAATATAGTAATAGAAGAGTGTAAATATAGCTAGATGATAGTGTAAGTGCATGGAAAAATTTAGTTAACAGGGAGAGCCAAATCAACTGAATGTCACATAGACGGATAAAAAAAAATCCCTCAACGCCGCATCCTGGAGTATGTTTATGTTTGACAAATATGGTGTTAAACTCCAATTGACTAAAGTATAATAATGGTTTATTATGAGCATGTTTGGATGCCAGACACGGCCAGCTGTTGCGGCGCCTAAGTTGTGGCGCTGAAAATCCACGCCACAACTGTAATGAAGTTTTGTAAAAAGAAAACCTGTGGCTGCCGCAGCTTTGCCTTCAACCAAACATCAGCTTTTCATTGTTTGGGTGCCGCACCCTACTAGGCGTGGCAATCTCTGGCGGGAACCAAACACCCCCTATGCTTGATTTGACCAAGTTCAAATTGATTTTGCCTCGCTCTCCACCGTGTGCGGCGTAAGGATTAGGACCGTCAAATGTAAAGGGGCTTAGTTTTTTCTCGCTTAGCATGCCCATGTGATCTGATAGTCTATTAGCTCAATGATAGAGGTCTATGGTAATTGTGTCTAGTTCAAACTTCAACGTGCTCATCAAAGCCGGACGGAAATCCATGTTGACGCACGGACAAACAAACACAGATGCTTGTGGTGACGATGGCTGGATGAGAGATCTATGCCGGGCCAACTGGTGCAAACCTTTGATAGATGAGAGACCGACGCCGGGCCAGATGTGCGAACCTTCGGGTGCCAATGTTGTAGGCTTTGTTTAGATGTACAATTATCCGCCTCAATCCATATGTGTTGGAGTGGATTATGGTAGAATTTAGTTTAATTTCTACTCCAACCTACTTTAACGCATGTGAATTGAGCTAAATATATGGACATCAAACAAGGCCGTAGATGGATTTGCCACCAACAATGCATGATTTCGGATGAAATAATATCCAATCTAATGTCTACGGATGTTTATTAGGGCTAACTAATTCATAAGGCGGATTATTGATCTCTCCAGGATGACGCGATCGAAACATAGGATTGAACGACGCTAGTCTATAGCTCTTGATACCATGTAGAAAATAATTGAAACGGCTTAGCTTATCCTTAGGCTGCTATGTCTATTAGGCCACTTTCAATAGAGATATTATAGAGTTTCATGTATATTAAATAGGGTAACACATCAGTAAAAAAATAGAATATTTACATGTTTTCAGGAGAAGAGAGAAATGAAACGTTATTTACATGTTTTCAGGAGGAGAGAGAAATGAAACGTTTCATAGGGATAAATGTTTGGGCGCTGTTTCCAAGCTATTGGAACCCGGACTGACGCTTGCATTGAGGGGGAAAGTTTTATCCATGGATCCTGTGCTCCACAGAGCTCTGGGCGGCGCAGCCGGCAGAGGAGGGAATGGATGTGGGGCAGCCGGCTGGGACTCAAGAAGGCTTCCTCGCATGCGCCGTCGCCGCTGGTTCCCGCGACGCCGATGCATGTCCGCCCCCGTAGCTTCGTCACCGGTGTCGCCGCCACCGCCTTCCGCCCCAGCGCCGCGACCGGTTTCGCCGGCACCGATGTCCGCCACCGGTTCCGTCCTCGGCCAACCCTCCGAGCCCGTGCGTGGCGGCAAGGCCTCGGCCAGGCAGCTCCGCAAGCGAGGCCACGGCTCATTCCACGGCTGGTGGCAGGAGGCCGGGCTCCTATACAGCATCCGTCCTCGTCCGGTGCGCACGGCGGTGGCGGCATACGGATGCGGAAGCGGCAAGGAGCAGCTCGCGCTGGCCGCGTGCTGCAGCATTGTTCGGGCGTGTTCAGTACTTCAGTTGGTCTGTGCAGGCGTTCGATTGACTGAATGCATGTTGATGTTTGCTTGAATCTAGATGCATGTGATCGGCAGTTCAGCATGCAGTTGTAACACTTGAATCTGGAAGGTTATAATTTCGGTGATAAGCTGTGAATCTCTTGGCATACTCGATTTTTTGGTGTGGTTGGCTGTATCCTTTCTGCAAGAGTTCGCTGCCACGTTTGATCACAACACAATATACTAATTAAATGTTAACACTACTTTGTAAAATTGTGAAATGAAACTGTGCATTGAAACGTTGGAAATAATCGTGACTTGATTTAGTTTGTGTCATGCAGGTCACGTTCTATTATTAGAGTACGTGTGAGTCATGTATTTGTGAGGCTGCATGTAGTTGAACGAGATATGTTCTCGTGGAGAAACTAGATAGGCATTAGTTTGTTAGCTAAGTCTAGGTGGTGGATGAGTAATGAGGAGATGGCGTTGGAGGCATCGCATGGCGCATGCCTGAGCGTGGCTTGTGATCAGTTCGAGTGACCCAGTCCTACGGACGAGCAACTTGCGCCGGTGCCTGAGAGAAGTCTGGCCGGTTCATGTGGATCATGTGCATCCATTGCGCATGTGAGTTCGTGGCTATGCATGAACTAAGGCTGGGCGTTCATGCGTGGCTTAGGCTGCAGGGCTATATATAGCCGATGTAATGTCTGCTCAAAGTGTCCCAAGTTGTGTGTTTGAATAATAGAAGCCAAGAAATAGGCGGTCGTCGCCGGCAAGTCTATGTCTATTGTTCATCTTCTATCTCTGTTCGTCGAGAGTTAGAGTGACTCGGTTCCAACATGAGAGACCCTGTTTCATTCTCAGTGTCATTTCTTGAAATTTGGGAGGTGAAACCTTTCAATGAAATTGGCCTTACCTATGGTCCAGTTGATATATGTCCTACTAGTAGGACTTTAAGGGCATGTTTGGGACTGCTCCACTCCAGCTTTTCTAGCTCTGCTCCAAACTTAGCTAGCCAAACAGGTCAAACTCCAAGAACTCTGCTCCAACAAAAAGGTGGAGCCAGAGGCCAACTCCACGTTTTTCTCAGAGCTCCTCAAGGGATACTCCAGAAAATAGCCTTTTGTATGTCCTCGTGGAGTTCGTGGGAAATTACCCACCACTGCCACTCGTTACACAAGAATACCGATTCGTTATGTTTCTCCCTCCGTCGAGTCCCCGTCCACCTGCCTCCTCCCTCGCGACTTCTTCCGTAGCGTCGTCCTTTCTTCCCCATGAACCCTAGCGCCGCCGCCCGCTATTCCGGCCGCCACGAAGAACATTCCGGCAAGGTGATGGACGGAGATGAGCGCGGCGGAGGACGCGGCTGCCGCTGCGGCGGATGGGGGATTCGGAGGCGGGAGCAGCGGCGCGGGGTCGTCGGAAGGGGGCGCGCGGCGCCGGTTCGACGACAAGGGGCTCGTCGCCCTCACATCGCTCATCCTGTGGCACACGCACCAGAACGACGTCGGCGCCGTGCGGAAGCTGCTGGAGGAGGACGCCGCGCTCGTCAACGCCCGGGACTACGACAGCCGCACGCCGCTCCACGTTGCCGCGCTCCACGGCTGGCACGACGTCGCCGAGTGCCTCATCGCCAACGGCGCCGACGTCAACGCCCAGGACCGCTGGCAGAACACGGTGGGTGGGTGGGAGTGGGGTGGGCCAGTCTCCTCCGACGATCCTCGCCTGCCCCTTGCATCTGCGTTTGATTTGCATGTTCTGTCTGTTCTCTGTCTGTTCCGATGTCGCGGGCTCGATTTGGGTCGATGCTGCGCCTTGGGCTCTTTGTTTTCGTGTTGGAACGATTCAGAGGTTTCAGATCCTACTCTCTTCTGTTGGGATACGATTGGCTTGTCGAATTTGACAATTTGGAAAGACACGCGATCAGCTACATCCACGCTCTGCAGCTTTTCATCCTACTACTGCGTGGTACTCTTGTCAACCTTGCTGCATTTGAGGAATTTGCAGATTGCGCTGCGAATTCATGGGGTCTCGCGCTTGCTATGTTGGCTTGTCAAATGTACCGGTGCTACAATGATCGGTATATGCATTCTAGTTATGCCATAAACACCATATCCTTGAGCCTTCATATACTGCCTGCATATATTTCTGACTCACCTCATTGCATACCACTGTCAATATATTAGCACTCCAGATGTTCACTCATCCATCCGCAATGTTATTGAGCGATCATTTAGAGTGCTAAAAATGAAATATGAACTTTGTCAATTATCCATCAAGCGCTTTGAAATTTACGTGATAAAAATATGAAATTATTTGACCGAAATATTTGTTTTTTACTTTTCTCCAATAAATTAAATGAGATTATAATATTTACACCATATTTGAATTGGTAAAAAAAAAATATTCAATTACACATGATCTGCATACAACAGAACATACACCAAACATCGATCAGGGGCATAGTAGACATTTCCTATAAAAACCTCATGTTTCCAGAGCTAGAGCTAAACTGCGTGCCAAACATGCCCACTTGCTCCAGAAACTCCACAGTGGAGCTGCTCTGTGGTAGAATTGGTGAAGCAGAGCTGAAAAAGATGGAGCAGAGTAGTCCCAAACAGGCCCTAAGTCTACTCAGAGTATAGGAATAGATCTATCCTATTACTATATCTTAGAATTCTATCTCTATTATTCCTAGAATCCTATTATTCCAAGAGGCATGAATTAACTGCTGCACGGGCAATCGGGCATGTGTGCACAGGTCGGCAGTGCAGTACGCGGCTGCCTAGCTTGAGATGGGGTACTTCGGTGACGAGATGGTTATAGCTTTTACTCAACGCCTCGGCTGCTGTCACGTACTCCGGTCCCCCTCCTTTCATTGCAAATGGCCGGCCGGCCTGCCGGCCCTAGTCTCTCTCCATAAAACCACACCACCACTCACACCCAGTTCCTGCGCGCACTTGTTGTGCTCAGTGCTCACTGCCGAGCAGCACTGCACAGGCGACAGAAATCCTAGCTGGTGCCTGTCGTCGTTCAATTTACTGCGACGTGACCACAGTCCACACAGCGTGTCGTCGTTGTCATGGCCGCACACCATGACATGCACGGCGTCGACTCGTTCGCGCATCAGCTGCCCTTCATCCCCGCTGCGCTTGCCGCGGCACCGAAGACGCCGGCGGCGAGCAGGGACGCCGCCAGCATCCGCCTCTTCGGCCGGGACTTCCCCAACGACCAGCAGCAGGCGGCCCACCAGCTGCTGCTGCTCAAGGAGGACGCGGCCGGGGCCGGGGAGGGCGGCGGCGAGGCGGCGGCGTCCGGCGGGGAGAGGAAGTTCGAGTGCCAATACTGCTGCCGCAACTTCCCGACGTCGCAGGCGCTGGGCGGGCACCAGAACGCGCACAAGCGGGAGCGGCAGCACGCGCGGAGGGCGCATCTCGAGGCCTCCTTCGCCGCGCATTGCGGCGCCTACCTACCCGGCGCGCACCTCTACGGCCTCTTCGGCTACGGCGGCGGCGGCGGCCACACGGCGCTGCCACCGGCGCACTACCCGCCGGCGGCCGTGTGGGCAGGCGCCGTGCCGGGGATATACGGCGGCGGCGTGGGGCCCGTGGCGCGGCCTCCCGTGTACGGCGGCATGGCCGTGCCGGGGATGTGGAGGCCGTCGCCACCTGGGAGTGGTGGAGCTTTTGTCGCGGCTGGCCGACCCGTGGGGACCGGGACCGATCCAGCGGGCTACGGAGAGATGATGGCTGGCAAAGACGACAAGGTGGCGATGGCGATGAGCGTGGTGACGTCACTGCCCGCGTTGCCGTCGTCGTGCTTGTCCGGCCAGTCGGCGGAGATGATAGGGAGACCTGAGTTGGGACACAAGGATGGAGTCATAAGCTTGGACCTCTGCTTGTAGTTTGTCTTCCCACCACATGCTGTTTAGATCGCTTCCTTTTTTTCTCTTTTCCTTTTGGCTTGTTTCGAGAGGTGTTTTAAGCATGTTTCTTCAGCTAAATTGTGAGAGGCATTTCCATTAGCACTGTCTAATGATATGTACTTTTCTTTAGTTTAAGGTAAGCGTGCATGCAGTTTGGCTTGTGATATTTCGTCTAAATTATCGGTAACAACGTACTGTTTTAATTTGTTTATTTGTTTATTTGCTTTCTTTCAATTGTTTTAGTAGGCCACCTTTTGAACAAAAGGAAAAAAAATGAAATAGCTAGAATGCTGAGGGCTTCTAAGGTGGACTTCACATAGGATTGGATCTCCAAAATTGTTTTGAAATTCCATATGCAACGGCTTGTTTCGTATCATAGGAAATGCAGAGGACTTCTAGGGAGTGTTAGGCTGGTCTTATCAGCCAGCTTATTCGCTGGCTTATAAGCCATGGTATAGTATTTTTCTCTCTTAAAAAATTAGCCATACAAATCAGCACCAGCGACTTTACAGCCAGCCGAACAAGCCCAATGGGGTCGATCTAACCTTTCCGAAAATTCTTTTATGTCTATCCTTTTCTGATTCCCATGTTTTCCTTGTAACATCGAAACTGGCAAATCCCATGTTTTTTTAATGGTTTCGGTTCCATAGGATTCAAGTTGGTAAGACGGTCTACTCTAGCGTTTTTCCTATTCCTGTATATTCTGAAAGAATACCGTGTTTCAAAGAAATCTTTAGGGCATCAGCAATATAATCTTGCTTGATGGAGTTATTGTGATAACCACAATGCTAAAATGGGAGGTGTAGTATTAAACTAGGTCCCACGTTAATATAAAACACACCCAACCACACGACCATTTTTCTCCACCATGTGTGCGATCACGTTGTATCGACTTCAGTGGAACCCCTCGCTTATGCCGCTAATTCCTATCCCCCAATGCAGCTGCCCGAAGAGCCATCAACCCCTAGTCTAGATCTCCGATGTAGCTTCCTCTTCAGTGCCCCTTCCTTTCGTAGGGCACTTGGAGTGTGGGGTGGCACCTCTACGATCGAAGGCATGTGGGGGGCATCGACAACGTGTCAACGGGGGCACACAAGGGCAGCATATTGGCGAGGGGCCAGGGTGCATGGGGGCGTGCATCGGGAGGAGGCGATGACGATTGTTCTTCAGCTTGGGCCCACGGTGGCAATCCTCAAGGGTGATAGAGAAGAGGAGAAGAAAATGTTTTTTAATGCTTACACCTAGGTAATAAGCTTAATACCAGGTGGGAAAATATTTTTATTCTTACCTACTTCCACAATGCTCCTGTGACAGAGCCGCCTAATTTATATAAGATCAAGTACGGCTGCCCTCGCTAAACACGTCGACACGCGCATACTTTCACTTATATAAACCCGGTAGTCCGTCGAGTGTCACGAAGGACCTCGGTAAATCAACATCACAACCAAGATCGCACGATTAAGCAAATACACATCATATACATGGAGTTGCAGCCGAAATAATGTTTATAATGAGTTCACAAATAATAATACAAGTTTGGGTTTCAAAACCGATTAGTGAAAATAACACAGCTTTCAAATGATTACAATAATATAAGTTCCAAATACATTGCTAGCATATGTGACATCCTCTAACAAAACATATAGATAAGAATACTATATAGAGTCGCCGAGCCCACTAGCGGTTAGCCACCATCTTTAGCAGACCGAGAACGTCACCTACAACATGGTGGGATAAACACTGAGTACTCGAATGTACTCAGCTAGACTTACCCGTCATAAACCAAAAATAAAGTGACACCAAGGATCATGCAAGACTTTATAAGTGGAGCTGGTTTGACAATATTTTGCATAAAAAGTCACTAGTTGAGCTATACATTTTATAATTCAATTCCAAGTTAATTGTAGCTATTCATCTTTAGATTAGCATCTAACCCATGCTAAACATGTGATGTATGATTATGTAGCATAACAATAATAACCATAGCCGGTGTAACATTCCCATGTTCATCATGACCATCAAATTTCATAGTTCAATTACTACGATGCCGGAGCTAGTCAAGTTTCTCACTATCCGGGAGAGACGACGATTCAAATTGGTTGCAATCAGCTGGACAGTATTCCTAACACAAACCCAGGTCTACAAGCCACGGTAGCCTTAGGTCACCTTTGGTATAACTCAGGTTCACATTTCGCGGGTTGGATCAGCGCCGCACAATCAGGGACAACCAGCTGCCAGGACGTTTAGGCCTAGCCTGTCCTTGGGCTCATGTCTGGCTCCCCGCACATCCTTACTACCTCCAGTGTGCGCACTCTTACAGAATGAGGCCCAACCTGAGTTGAGCTACTCGGCTTCGCGGTCGGAACGAGTTATCCGGCTAGCTAAGTGAGAGGCATGCGTTCAATCTCGATAGAAGTGCCAGCAATGATACGGTCCTTAATCGACACAGACGGGATCAACATAGCCAACCCAACACCATTGCATATGAAATCCTACCCGGTCTCCACTTAGATTACATCCCATGGTTATTTTTCCACGATAGCAAATATAGCCAACCGTGCTCCAGTATCCACCTATATCTCGCAGGTGACAGTAAATCACCCGACTTCTACCGGTCTAAGCATGGCTAAGTATATATTCGATCCTAGACCTACATAGGGTTCAAGGTATATGTCTGGACAAGGAAATTATATGCATCAAGAGTTTCCAATCAACTCCTATAACCTAATGTATCACACATAAAAGGACTCAAGTTGATATTTGTAAGACATAGAAGGCTTAGAATGCTCCAGGGCTTGCCTGGGATCCGACACAAGTCAGTTCAGTTAGCTCACACCATCTTGGTGACATCTCCGGTCCTAGCACTTGCTTAATCCTTCCATCTTCGGGATAGGTCCACCATACATCATCTTCAGGTTAGGCTAAAACATCACGTGCTTCACGTCCACACGTGGTGCATCTAGCGTACCTAGATGAGATGCAATATGCAAGTGCATGAATGCAAGGAATGGTAGCATGAGATGTATCATATAAAAGCATTCAAGACAAGCATAAGGTTACACCTTAAGACATAAGCACTTAGAAAGCAAGTCGTTTAACTAATTATTGCACAAACCCATCATGGTAAGGTAGAAGAAAAATAACACCAAGCATTCACTAATGAGGCACTCAAGTTAAGCTACTTTAAACAATCATCTAGCACAGCACCAGCTAATCCTAGACATCACACAATCAAGATCAAGCATGAGCAATCAACTTCAAGTATATGCACAAAATCTGGACAGCAACATAGCAACCATTCAATTTAACCATAACTAGAGTTATAAGCCTACAACAAGGGTGATCCAAGACTTTCTGCAAATCTAATAAAATTATATAAAACTTTGTTATTAATACCAAAAGCTGATTCAACAAATAACAAGGTCAAAATACATCATGAAGTAGAGCTTATAAAACTAAGGATAGAAAACAGATAGTAACTTCAGAAATGCATATCTTGAGTTATATTCATCCAACAAGCATGATCCTTAACTTTATAGAAAGATTATTAAGTTATCTATAACTTTCTTATTATCATCTTAAGATGATTCTACAGCTAACAAGGTTAAACAACACCAAGAAGGCATCTCTGTCCAAATTTGGATAGAATCTGCCATTCTACTTCGAGCAGCTATAACCGTAGTTCTATACCCCCAAAAAGGGTTGTCGGTGCAGAAAGTGACCAACACATAAATATTTGTAGTTTTGCCGTACGTTGTGATCGGAGGTGGCCTAGCACTCAATGACACAGGGTTTATACTGGTTCAGGCAACGTGCCCTACGTCCAGTTTGAGTCGGTCGGTGACTTTATTCCTGAGCCCAGGTGCTCGAAGTTTACAGTGGGGTTACAAACGAGAAGGAGAAAGATGGGGGGTACAAGAGGTCTGGTCGGACTCTGGTCAGAGGGGCCGAGAGTGATGGGAGCTCCGCTATGTGCTAAGTGTTAGAGCGTGTGCTTGTGGTTTGAACCTAATGGTTCTGTTGTTGTGTACTCGTGAACTGATCGATCTTTTGTTGGAAGAGAGCGCATCCCCTTTTATAGATGAAGGGGATGGCCTTACAAGTGAGAGGGAGAGAGCACGTATGTTACTAAGTCTTGTTGCCCACGCCGGCGGGTACGAGATGATGGTAGGCGCTCACAATACTGTTTAATGTCAGATGCACGTGGGAGGTTGCGTCGTTTTTGAAATGACCTGATTTCCGCAAAGGGAAATCCACAGAGTCGAAGTGTAATAAGACCGTCGTAGATCATATTACCCAAATTTCTAGTTGAATACCACATCCATATAACGATAATATCAGAGTACAAATAGTGTGGAATTACATAAATTATTACATCGCCGCATTGGCAGAATCAAAAGTAGCATTCATTCAGAACAGTTTGAAGATAAGATCGCCAAACTTGAGCGTAGAAACAAACCCCTCAACCGTCAAACTCCTCGGAGCTATACTCCTCAGCAGAACCTGTGTGCCAAAATTTATCAGTACGATTTGTACTGGCCACTTCCACCCTATGAGCATTGCTTTGTGGGAATTGGATGCAAGTGAGATATAATAAAAAAGGAACCTATAAGGCTGGGGTTTCCTATGTATTAGCATATCAAGAGTATAATAATAGTTGGTCAAGTTTTAACACCATTCCCACACTCATTCCACCCCATTCCTGTCCAGAGCCAGGTTTCGATCCTGGGATCGATATACCACCATCTCCACACCATCACTATACCACAACCATACCATCGCTCAGTTGATAGGCCAACTCCCTCTCGGCACTGTCTCAAGGCCCGTAGCCCCTGTCTATGTCCGAACACTCACTCCCAGGTGGAGAAGAGAAGGACTCATCTCACTATCTAGTTTAAGCGAAACCCAGGAAAGGTCCATAGCCGACAAGTCGGCATATGTATCGATCGATCAACCATACACTCTACAGAGGTTTTACA